AAACAGATGAAAAATCATCTGTTATTCTGATGGTGACTCTATATGTAACTTGGATTTACTGTCTTACAGTTTTCAGGACCTGTTCTCTGTTCTGTGTATTTAGGATTCTTGAAAAAAAAAATCAGTTTTATGTGCATGAATGTTTTGTTTGGACACATGGTTGTACATCAGGTGTGTGCCTGATACCCGAAGAGGCCAGAAGAGGGCACTAGATCTCTTGGGAATGGAATTACAGACACTTGTTAGCTGTCATATGAGTGCTGGGAATTGAACCTGGGTCATCTGGAAATGGTCTTAACCATTTAGTTACCTCCCCAGTCCCAGGGTTTTTAACTGTAATATAAAATAAGGATGTTTTCTTTCTTTCTTTTTTTTTTTTTTGGCCATTCAGTTCTTTATTATACCATCAGGTGTTTTAGACAGATACAGTATCACAGCTTCACAGAGTTAAACAAATGTAACATAAAGAAAAGTAACACACCTTAAAATAATATTCTACAACAGAGAAAGAACAAAAGAAAAAAATCCTGCATTGTTACAGGGTTTTACACAATGTTGAATGCTTTCTAAATTCTTGGAGGAGGTCTGGCTGGCTGGCATGGATTCTCCCATGAAGTCTGGTTAACTTGGCTTTTTTTTTTAATGGCGAATGCCATTTATTGAAGGATGGAGGAGGTCTTAAATACAGGCTTATAGCACAATGGGAGAATCCTAGAGGCCAGAAGTTCGCTACAGATGTTTTACAATCTTGCATCTAAGCTTTAACGCCCAATATGCAGGATACACTGATAAGGAACTTCCCTTAAGCATTCAGGAGGGTGGAACCCGGCAGGGAATTAGCACAGGGAGGATATCAAGGTCAAGGTCAGCAAGCAAGGCAAGAGTTACCCAAAACTGGGGCCAGGGCCCTACAGGTCCCAGCTTTTACTAAAAAATGAGCTTCTGACTTAGGTTGCATGGGACGTCAGCAGGTCACCTTACACCTGCCCAGGCCACACAGGCACTCTGTCTTAGGTTGGTGAGCGTCCCCCAGGAATTACCCGTCTCTTAATACTCATTATCATACAGGCTCAGTCATGTGTGGGCTGTAGAGTTAACTGCTGCCAAAGATCTCAAAGTGGCACTGGGCTTGCAATCTGTGTTTTCAACACAGAAAAGACCAACAGAGGTCCTAACCCACCCCTAGCCAGTAGGCTAAAGGCAACTGAGTCATTCCCTTCCTTATTGAGCCTTATTGCAAATTGGAGTCCTTGTAAGATGATATCCAAAAGCAAATGGAACTTGAGTTTTCATATAGTCCTATTTGGTGTTCTTTGTGCCTCTTTTTCATGGATGGGCACTATTTTCCCCAGATTTGGGAAATTTTCCTTTATGAGTTCACTAAAAATATGTTCTGTACCATTTATTTATTTATTTATTTATTTATTTATTTATTTATTTGCTTGTTTACTTGTTTATTTATTTTTATGATTTTTTATTAAGAGATTTTTCTATTCACTTTACATACCAACCACAGATTCCCCTGTCCTTCCTCCTCTTGCCCCCTAGCCTTCCCCCCAAACCCACCCCCCATGCCACCTCCTCCAAGTCAAGGTCTCCCATAGGGAGTTAGCAGAGCCTGGCACATTCTGTTGAGGCAGATCCAAGCCCCTCCTTCCTGCACCAAGGCTGCACAAAGTGTCCCACCATAGGTACTAGGTTCCAAAAAGCCAGCTCATACACTAGGGACAGGTCCTGGTCCCACTGCCTGTGGGCTCCCTAAACAGTTCAAGCTAAATAACTGTCTTGCCTATCTAGAGTGCCCAGTCCAGTACCATGGAGGCTCCTCAGCTATTAGTCCACAGGTCATGTGTTTCCACTAGTTTGGCTAGTTGTCTCTGCACTCTTTCCAGTCATGGTCACTATAGCTCTTGCTCATATCATCCCTCCTCTTTCCCATCGACTGGACTCCTGGAGCTCTGCCTGGGACCCGGCCGTGGATCTCTGCATCTGTCTCCATCAATCACTGGATGAGGGCTCCATGATGACAGTCAGGGTATTCAGCCATCCAATCACCAAAGTATGCCAGCTCAGGCACCTTTTCATCCACTGCCAGTAGTCTATGGTGGAGTTATCCCTGTGGATTCCTGGGAATGCCCCCAGCACTCTGTTTCTCCCTATATCTATGGTGTCTTCATTTATCATGGTATCTCTTTCCTTGTTCTCCCACTCTGTTCCTGTTCCAGTTTGAACATCCTCCTCCCCTAAGCTCTCATCCCCCATCCCTTTCCCTCCATTACCCCCCCCCTCACCCCCAGTTTGCTCATGTAGATCTCATCCATTTCTCCATCACTGGGCAATCCATGTGTCCTTCCTAGGGTCCTCCTTACTAGCTAGCCTCCCTGGAGCTGTGGGGTTGCAGTCTGGTTATCCCTTGCTTTATATCTAGTATGAGTGAGTACATACTATGTTTGTCCTTCTGAGTATGGGTTACCTCACTCAGGATGATATTTTCTAGATCCATCCATTTGCCTGCAAACCTCATGATGCCAGTGTTTTTCTCTGCTGATAGTATATGTATCATATTTTCTTTATCCTTTCTTCAGTTGAGGGGCATCTAGGTTATATTCCAGGTTCTGGTTATTACAAATAATGCTGCTATGAACACAGTTGAGCATGTGTCCTTGTGGTATGATTGAGTATTCCTTGGGTATATGCCCAAAAGTGGTATAGCTGGGTCTTGAGGAAGACTGATTCCCAGTTTTCTGAGAAACTGCTATACTGATTTCCAAAGTGGCTGTACAAGTTTGCATTCCTACCAACAGTGGAGGAGTGTTCCCCTTGCTCCACATCCTCTCCAACCATGCACAAAACTGAAGTCTAAGTGGATCAAAGACCTCAACATAAATCCAGTTACTCTGAACCTGATAGAAGAGAAAGTAGGAAGTTCTATACCTTTGACCTGAAGTTTTTCTTCTTTTATGTCCATAATTGGTAGATTGGTCGTCTCATGGTGTCTCAAAGTACCTGCATAAAACATTCATGAATTTAAAAATGCATAGTTTTTTATTTTATTGAGTGTCCCATTCTTCAA